AACTTCAAAAGTCTCCATAGTCTATCACAGTCTCAAACATATTGAGAAGTCTAAATTTCAAAGTCTATTCTGAGATTCATGCAATCTCTTAACTGTATAAAATCAAAGAGCAGATCACATACTTTCAACATATAATGGCACAAGATATAGATAGATAGATAGATAGATAGATAGATAGATAGATATATGTACATATATGTATGTATATATGTGTGTGCATATATGTATGTATGTATGTATATGTATATATATGTACATATATGTATATGTATATATATTGCCATTCCAAAACATAGGGAAGGGAGAATAGTGAGAAAATACTGGATCAAAGCAAGACTGAAAAACAGCTGGGCAAACTCCAAACTCTGAGTCTCCATGTCTGATGTCAAAACGCTCTTCAGATCTCCAACTCTGTTCAGCTTTGTTGACTGCAACACATTTCTTTCCCTTGGACTGGTTCCACTCCCTGTTAGCAGCTCTCCTTGGCAGGTATCTCACTACTCTGGCATCTCTAACATCTTGTGTTCTCCAAGACAATCTAGGCTTCACCTTCACAGCTTCATGCAATGGCCTCTCTAGGCCTCCATGCAGGGACACCACTCACACATGCCTGGCCTCAGTGGCTTTCCTTAGTCATGGAAGAAGATTCCATAATCCTTTTCTTTTATTCTTGACTCTAAAGCCAGAATCATGTAACCTAAGCTACCAAGTTCTGTTGCTGGGGCTGGAATATGGCCACCTCCTTCAATTACATTTCCATCAACTTTCTGTTTTAGATGGTTTCCTTCACTTCCTAAGCTTGGCTGTTCTGAATCTCAATTTGTAGACCAGGCTCAAACTCAGAGCTCCACCTGTCTCCTGAGTGCTGGGATTAAAGGCATGCACCACTACACCTGGCTCTAAACTGTATTTTAATTCCTTTCCACAAATTGGAAGCTTAGCTGCATAGGATTTTGCCCTGAGGTCACCACTCCCTTTATTCCATTTCTTAATCTGTTTATCTCCTTGAACACAGGACTCAGCTCCATACCACTTTCTGGTGTTCCTTTTCTCCTCAAATTGTACATTTTGTTTTTACCTTACTCAGTTTTCTTCTTTTCATATAAATCTTCATTAGAATTACCACTAATAACCAAATGAGAGAGTCTAACTAGGCTGTTTTGAGATTTCCTCTGCCAACAGAATTAATTCAAATCTCTTCACTTTAGTCTCAAGCAGACTCTTTGGAGGAGAGCCAAAAGAAGCCACATCCTTCACCAAAATATCACAAGAACGATCTCTAGGCAACCTACTAAAATTCATCTCTGAAGCATCTTGAGCCAAGCTCCCCAGTTCAAGTTACTCTCAGCACCACTGTCTTCCATGCTCCTACTAGTATGGCCCATTCAGCAGTGTTTAAAGTATTCCACTGCTTTCATAACCCAAACTCCCAAGGTCCAAATTCCTCCAAACAAAAGCATGGTCAGGCCTATCACAGCAATATCCTAGTCCCTGGTATTAACTTCTATTACCATGAAGAGACATCATGACCATGACCTCTTACAAAGGAAAACATTTAATTGTGGGTAGTTTACAGTTTCGGAGGTTTAGTCCATTATTATCATGGCAAGACAAGGTGGGAAACATGGCAGCATGCAGGCAGACATGGTGCTGGAAAAGGAGCTGAGAGTTCTACATTTTGATTTCCAGGCAACAGAAGCATCTGTGACACCAGGCCTAGCTTGAGTATAGGAGACCTCAAAGCCTGCTGCCACAGTGATACATTTCCTCCAACAAGGCCACACCTACTCCAAAAAAGCCACTCTCTATATGTCCATGAATGAATGGCTGAATGGATAAAGCAAAAGTGGCATATTTATATACTAGAACATTACTCAACTGTTAAAAAAATAAAATAAAATTCTCAGGTAAATGGATGGAGCTAGAAAAAAAAATCATCCTGAGTGAAATAACCTATACCCAGAAAGACAATATGGTATATATTCACTTATATGTAGGTGTTAGCTGTTAAGTCTCAATAAGCAAGCTACAATCCATAGAACCACTGAGGTTAGTTATAGAGTGAGGAACAGGGAGAGGATAGATCTCCCTAGAAAGAAGAAAAAGAATACATAGATATGAAAGGATTGGGAGGAGGAATGGAATGGGAGGGTCAAACAGACAGGAGGAGGGAAAAAGAGGATGAGGGAGGGAATACAAACAGCTGAAACAAAGGGCCATTTGAGGGGTCATATGGAAACCCAATATAATAAAAACTTCCTAAAACATACATGTGTGAAAGTGATCTAAATGGAATTGCCAAATAAAAAGGGAGATAGAGCCCCAACTGGACAGCTCTCGTCACCAAATGAATCCTGCAATTCAAGATGGGCTACATCTAGTTGAGTTGTTGATACCATGGGATACCCTAAACAATCCAGGCTATTGCCAAGGCCCCTGGCTTCTCTCCACAAAAAAAAAAAGAAAATAAAAAAGGCCCTATTGCTGAAGATAATGCCACATAACTCATTGCACATGAAGAAGTTGAGCTGGTGCCCACCTAGAGCCTTCACTCCTACTGACTAGTATTTGTGGTACTGGAAGGTGCTCTGCACACTACCAGGGAAGAATGGTAAACACCAACCCAGCTGTAAACACTGTGACCTACAATGGCAGCATGCATGCAGGATGCACTAGTGCAACAGTGGCACAAAGCTTGTGGAAGCAACCAACCATATCTGATTGGATTTAGGGCCCATTCCGTGAGGTGGAACCCTTCCCCGACAGTGCTCGGACGGCCATGAACCTGAGACTAGCTAGGCCAGGACCTAGGAGAAAACCAAGTACTATTGTTCTGCTAAAGGAAAATAGCAATAAAATGGCTCCTAATAACACTCTGCTATATTCATAGATCAGTGTTTTGCTCGCCATCAGAGAGGCTTTCTCCTGAAGGGGTGGGAATAAACAGAAACCCACATCTAGACAATGTGCTGATTGTGTGAAACGTTGGAATACTCAGTCCTAAATGGGATGTCTCTATCAATTCCCTCACCTCAAGGCTCAAGGAACCCTGTGGAAGGAAGCAGAAAGAGTGTAAGAACCAAGGGAATAAAGAACACCAAGGAAACACGGTCTTCTAAACACAGTAGGATTGATGCACATATGAACTCACACAGACTGTGGTAGCATGCACATTCTTCTCTGACCTTCACATGCACACTCTGACCTCTGCCCTACACACAAAATAAATATAAAAAAATTAACTTACATCCAGGCATGGTGGCGTACACTTTTAATGCCAGCATTTGGGGGGCAGAGGCAGGTGGGCCTCTGAATTCAAAGTCAGCTTGGTCTACAGAGCAAATTCTAGGACAGCGAGGGCTACACAGAGAAACCCTGTCTAAAAAAAAAAACAAAAAAAGAAAAAGAAAAAAGAAATTATCTTACTATCAAAATGGAGTACTTGGGCCTTCTATGGAAGAAGAAGATGGTGGGCTAGAAGCTACCTTCATTTTAGCCAAGGAAGGAGAGAATAAGAAATAACAGACTCTATTCCAAACACGGAAAGAAAAGAAGAGCTTCAGAAATCCAGAAAGGAAAGGAAATGGTATCAGAAGGTATGGAAAAAAAAGACGGACAACAAACAGATAAGTAAGATGTAAGATATGACACACAGTGTCATCGGGCTTCCTGGCAGGGGAGGGAGGGTTGAAATCACTTCCAAAAGTTGAGAGATGGGCAATCCTACAAGTCTCAAACCCAGTGGCAAGTTTTGGTTAAGGCAGAGCTCACTCAGGCAAAGATAAATTCCATTTTTCTACTACTTGATTTGATGACTGCTGCAGAAGGCATCCTGAGAGAGAACCTATCACTAAAAACTGTGCTACCATGGGGGCCTGAGAAAGGTAACAACCACAGAGAGGACCCAGGGAAGCAGTTATAGAAGCAGCTGGCCAGGGGTTATCTTATCTACTGGGATTAATGTTGGAATTTTATAGTCAAGACACTGAGGCCAAGAACATATTAAACCCTAGAGCTAACTACTGTTGGCTGCTAGAGTCCAAGAAGTCTGATGATCCAGGGATGTACCTGAGACCCACATCTGCAATAGGAGGTTTTCAAAGTCCAATGTTCACTGTTTAATTTTATGTCAACTTGACTCAAGCTAGAGTTACTGGAAAGGAGGAAGTCTGAATTGAGAAAGGTCACCCTAAGATTGGACTATAGGCAAGCCTGTAGGGCATTTTCTTAGTGATTGATTTGGGAAGCCACAGCCCATTGTGGGTGGAGCCACCACGGGGCAGGTGGTCCTAGGTTCTGTAAGAAAGCCGACTGAACAAGCCTTGGGGAACAAGCCAGTAAGTAGAACCACTCCATGGCCTCTGCATCAGCTCTTGCCTCCAGGTTCCTGCCCTGTTTGGGTTCCTGTCCTGACTTCCTTTGATGATGAACAGCAATATGGAAGCATAAACCAAATAAGCCCTTTCTTCCCCAAGTTGGCTTTGGTCACAGTGTTCCATTATAACAACCTATGATGTAACCCAGTTAGTAACCCTAAGACACAATGACATGTCCTTTACCAATAATGATCTCAGTGCTGCGACTGTTTCCTGTAATCCTGACACACTAGGCAGACAACCTCCAACTAAACATTAGTTACCCTGGGAATATGACCTAGAGTATCCCTAGAGGGTGAAGAACATGCCTAGCCACAAGAGTTGCTGAATGATGTGCCTTTTAAACCACTGACTACAAAATGTGAATCAAGAATTATTATCAGTCTATAATCCTTACATTGTCAGCTAAAGCTTATCAAGATGTTGCAAATGCATATAACAATTAGTAAAGACCATCTATAATCACAGAAAGTTACAGCTTAGAAGGAATCTTAGAGGACATCGAGTTCAAACCCTGTCTTAAATGTTAACTGAGACTTAACAAGCATCAAATAATCATTCCTGGTCACACTGTTTATTCTTTGTATAAACCCATTCTATGTCACACGGAAATACCTATCTTACCTTTCTGGTGTTGCCTTAGAAGTGACAGGATGCCCATGGACACCTTTTTTGTTTTTGTGGTCTAGACAGATGACTTTATTTCTTAGGCTTCTTGTCCACTAAGAAAAAATAAAAAAAAAACATTTTGATAATAAATATAATGATATGACTAAAGGCACTTATAATTTTACTTAGATATTCAGGACAATCAGCCAAATTCCTTTTTGTTTATTAATTTTTCTTATGCATGAGTGTTTGGTCTACATGTATGTCTGTGGTCCTGAGTGCCTGGGGCCTGAGGAAGCCAGAAGCCTGTGTCAGGTCCCCTGGAACTGGAGTTACAAATGGTTGTGAGCTAACATGTGGGTACTCAGAATCAAACCTGGGCCCTCTGCAAGAGCATCAAGTACTCTTCACTACTGAGTTCTCTCTCCAGCCTCCCAGCCACATTCTCACTAATACACAGAGAAAACGAAATGCGATCTACAAAATACCTCCCTCTTTCCAAGTACTGAAATACAAATATACCGAAAACAGTAAGGAGACATTTTAAACTATTAAAATTAATAAAACTCAAGACTGAGATCACAAACCTTAAATAACAATAATAATTGCAACTGTGTTAGCAGGAAATGGTAATGGATTAAGAGAGTAGGCCAGTGGTACAATATTTCCTAACATGCACAAGGCAATGGGTTAACTTATGCATGTTTTAATTACTTGTTTTGAAATATGTTATATGATATAGGAAAATTATCAAGTGCCAGGTTAAATAATGGCTCTGGCTATGGAGTAAATATATTTATAACAATTAGAAAAGATTAAAAGTGGTTCTTTGTGAATTGCTGCATGAGGAACAGCAAGACCCCTTATCAAGGTTTAGGTTTCTTAGGCCTGGAAATTAAAACTTGGTTTATTAGTTGAAATAGTGGCACATGCCTGTTAACTCCAGTACTCAGGAAGTGGAGGCAGAGGATCAGGTCAAGGCACCCTCAGCTACACAGTGAGTTAGGAGGTCACCCTAGGATATATGAGACTCTGTTTTAAGAATGAAAGAAGAAAATGAAATTTAATATATTGTGTGGACCTAAGCATATTAGTTATTTATATTCTCTAGGCCTTTGTTTCCCTATTTGAAAACAGGCATAATGATAATAATAACTACTTTATTCTGTGAATGTGTGCGTGCATATGTATGTGTGTGGCAGGAGAAGTGGTGTAGTATGCATGTGCACACCTGTGTGCATGTGTGGAATATGTGTGTGTGTGTGTGGCAGGAGGTGTGGTGAGTATGCATGTGCACACCTGTGTGCATGTGTGGAATATGTGTGTGTGTGGCAGGAGATGTGGTGAGTATGCATGTGCACACCTGTGTACATGTGTGGAATATGTGTGTGTATGGCAGGAGATGTGGTGAGTATGCATGTGCACACCTGTGTACATGTGTGGAATATGTATGTGTGTGGCAGGAGAAGTGGTGTAGTATGCATGTGCACACCTGTGTGCACGTGTGGAATATGTGTGTGTGTGGCAGGAGATGTGGTGTAGTATGCATGTGTACACCTGTGTATATGTGTGGAATATGTGTATGTGTGTGTGTGTGTGTGTGTGTGTGTGTATGTGTGTGTGTGTGTGGCAGATGTGGTGAGTATGCATGTGCACACCTGTGTGCATGTGTGGAATATGTGGGGGGGGGCAGATGTGGTGCAGTATGCATGTGCACACCTGTGTGCATGTGTGGAATATGTGTGTGTGTGTGTGTGTGTGTGTGTGGCAGATGTGGTGCAGTATGCATGTGCACACCTGTGTGCATGTGTGGAATATGTGTGTGTGTGGCAGGAGAAGTGGTGCAGTATGCATGCGGACACCTGTGTGCACGTGTGGAGAGCAGAGGTTGTGACTCACTGCCTTTCTCTACTGTGCCCCATCTCTGTGGAGACACAGTGTCTTTACTGAACGAGGGACTCAGCATTTTGGTTAGGCTGGCTGGCCAGTAAGCTCCAAGGGCTGTTCTATATCTGCACGCACCCCCCAAGCTGAGACTCTGGGCATAAAACATCACTCCTCTTTTACGAGGGTGTTGGAGATCTGAACTCTGATACTCGCTTACACAGACAGCACTTTTCACCCACTGAGACCATTAGCAGCTCCTCTGAAAAGATGTGACATCATCTCAGATAAGTTTTAATGACTTACATATGCTTCATCTAAAAGATATTTGTACACAGATGTAGTAATATTGTTCATAATATTCAAAAGATGAAAGCAACTCAAATGTGCATCCAGAGACGAATAGTTAAACAAAAAGAGGCGTATTATTTATGTGTAAACACATGTACATTTAAATAGTAAGCCTTACAGAAAGAGAAAGCTGCTGAGCCTAGTGGCATATGCCTGCAACCCCAGCATTTAAGGAAGTGAAAGCAAAATGGTCACGAGTTCAAGGCCAGTCCAGCCATGTGGTAAGACCATGTTTCAAAACATTTTCTTAAAAGGAGATTCTGAAACATGCTACAATATGAGCAAGTCTTAGCATTAGTCTAAGTGAAATAAAACAGCAATAAGAAGACAAATATTTCCATTCAAATCACATACTTGGAGTAGCCAAATTTATAGACAGTGGAGTGAGACTGGGGTGAGGAAACAATACGGAACTATTATTTAATGGGTACAACATTTCGTTTTTCAGGATGGATGGTCTTGATAGCTGAACAACAATAAAAATGTATGAAATGTCACTAAACTCTTAAAATGATTAGGGTGCATGAAAAAGAACAGCAGCCCCCATGACTTGAGGGTTGTCCTGCTTATCTAGGGCTTTAGCATGATGATCTCAGCAGCCAGTTGTAGTGACTCAGTCCACAGCTGTGGTTCCAATGGGAACCAGAAACATTTCACGATCTTACCCGAATACAGAGCAGCTGCTTTGGGATAAGCCAGGAAAGCAGGGTGGGATATTCCTCAGGACCGCATGAACCATCCCTCACATCTGACCTACACAGCTGGTGCGTATGGTTTCCATGCTCTCTCCCTGAAGGTGATACTCAAATGTCATCTCTTCCAAAGGAGAACTGAGCAATTAAAGAAGAATATGGCATCGCAACTGCCAATGTGAAAGATAAAAGAATTTGACACTAATTTTAAAACAAAGGGCTTCTCTGAAAAACTTCAGGATATCTTCACTGAAGCTCACCTTTGTCTAAACAACTTAGACCATGACCAGCTTCGTACCTCGGTAACTGAACACTTTTTTCTGGACATGGTCTGGGACCTAAAATACGAAATTCTCCTCTGGAGCTTTGTGGAATCTTTAGAGCCAGCCCGGGTGGTTCAGGTTTGATGTTCAAGCCTAGAGAACCAAAGCAATGTGTCTGGTCAGGTCACCATACACCAGCACATGGGAGCAGACTTCGGCCATCTATGACCTAATGGTATATGATGTATGGGTAAGATGTGCTCAAGGTTGTCCTGGAGTGTGTTGTGTTTGAACCTGATGAACCATATGGAGCTGGAGAATGCATGGTAAGGCTCTGCTCCACGGGTACCCCCTCAGCAGCCTATCTGCAAGACACTGGTGATTCCTGGTTCTTAGCTGAAACCACAAAATTAAAAAAAATACTGAAAACTTCAAGAGAAAAAAAAAAGTCACTCAGAAAATAATACCAACAACTGACAAATGGGATCTCACAAAATTAAAAAGCTTCTTTGATGTCAAGGAAACTTTTATTTTTTGAGTATCATGTATGTTTTGATCATATTTACCCCAGCTTCCCTACCCACTCAACTTCAAGACAGTCGTACTGTGTGCAAGACCAAATATTCTTGACTGTGTGGTTTTCTAGTGGAGTGTGGCCGGCTTCCCAAGAGCTGCACTCCTAGAGAAAACGCACTCTCACTCTTCCAGCACCTAACAGTTCCCAATAGCTCCACAGCTAGGGGTGGGATTGTGTGCTCAACTCCTCCACATGCTGGGCTTTGATCTGGTTTGGGTCAGCACGGCTTTCATGCACACTGCCATAACCACTGTGAGTCCCTATGGGCAGCTTCCCTGCTCTGCCTACAAGATAACGTCTCCTTGCAGTCGTTTTACCACCTCTGGCTCTCTACCCCTTCCATGATGGTCCACTTAGGCTAAGCCATCATTGCAGGCATTGCCGCTGCCCTTGGTTACCCTCCAGAACTTGATGGTAACACCGATTATGAAGACATCCATGACTGAGTCATAGAACATGGCAAAATCAAGCTGGTACTGACCTAGAAGCTTCATCCCTTCCTGGCCAGCTTTCATAGTGCTGGGTGCTGCTATGCACACTATCAGAAGAAACAGGGAACCATCAATCTTAGTAGCCACCATATGACAGACTTTCCCACACTACCCTGCTGTGTGAACTCTGTTCCCTTAGAACTTTGTTTACTCCCCTTGGAGGAATGCCTCTGCCTGCCCAAGGAATGCCACAGGCAAAATGTCCCTGCTCCTCAGCAGTTTAGCATGCTCAAGGGCCTCAGACAAACAGCCTCCACTCAGCCATGAGACCTGTATCTGAGCACATCTGGTGATAGTGAGGAGAACAAGTCTGTGTGTTGTTCACTGTTTCTCCATTCTTGCTTTGAACTTCAAGCTATCTGGAATAAAAGCTGCACAGAATGCTAGTAAAGGCACTCTTGTGCAGCATAACCTGGAGTCCCCTGGTTCTGCTGAATCCTGAATTCTATTGCAATCCTTGGCAGTGGTCACTGGAGGGTTGTGATAAATCTTATCAAGCTGTAAACCCTGCAAGCTACAATAATGACTGGCCTGTAATGACATGTCCACTGGTGCAATAGTGGCCTGAACATCATGGGAGCAACCAACCACTTTCCAATGGACTTTAAATCCCACTCCACAAGATGAAACCCATACCTGGCACCATTATAAGGCCAAGAACCTATGGCCAGACATGTGATAGGCACCCAGGGAGAATCTTCAACTATTATGCTACTCAATGGGCACAGTGATAAACCAACTCCTAATGACCTACCATGATACTAATAGATACCATCTCTCAACCCTCATCCGACAAGCTTCTATTTGCAGTAGATGTTGATTACCCAGAGACCCACAACTGACAAGGGGCAGAGA